GATGATCCTAAGCATTATTTTGCTAGTATGTGAAATTAAGGATATTGTATGATAGTTTGCATACTCTGCTAAGTCTCCTTTTTTGGTATTGGAATGTAAGTTGTCCTCTTCCAATTGATTGGCCACTGGGTCATTCTCCAGATTTGCTGGTGTAGCTTGGTGAGAACCTTGACTGATTCGTCTTCTGTTGCTTGCCATATTTCAGTGGGTATTCCATCAGTTCCTGTAGCCTTCCAACTTGGTAATGATCTGAGTGCTGATCTAGCTTCATCTTCTAGTACTTGTAAGAAGGGAATATGTTCTAAGCTATCTTGAATATTGGCATCTCTACTGTACATTATTTCAGCTTACTCCTTCCATCTTAGTTTTATCTCCTTTGAATGAGTTACTATCTGTCCATTGGTATACCAATTTGAGGTTGGACCCTCCTTCTGAGTTCAGAAATCTTTTGGAAGACTTTCCTCATTTTTCCATGTCTGTTTTCTTCTTTGATGTCTTTACAGATGTTGTAATACTGCTTCTTGTCTATTCTAACAGGTCTCTGAAATTCTTCATTAAGTTTCTTAGTGAGATCTTCGTCTTCCTTGGCCTTTCTTCCCGACAATTTTCACTGTTTGTTGTGACATCTGGTTTGCTTTCATCTGTTTCTTGGACTGTGGCAGTTGCTCTCTTCATTTTCACCCTTCTGTTTGATTTTATTCCACAGTTCCTCTGGTTCTTACCAATATGATTCAGGGCTTCAAAGTGATTCCTGATGTTCTCCTTGAAAATGGTGGGCATATGCTCAAGATCAGAGTGTGGAAACTGGTTGGTTTTGTTCTTCCACTTTAGTTTGACTTAGAATTTGCACATGAACAGTTCATGATCTATTCCACAGTCAGTCTCTGGCCACATCTTTTCTGTTATAACTGAGCTCTTCCACTTTCTTGTACTGATAATCAGTTTAATTCCTATGTGCTCTGTCTGGTGATGTCCATGTATACAAGCACTGTTTTAATTGTTTGAAGAATGCATTCGCAATGGATAAATCACTGGACTGGTAGAAACTGATAAGTTGTTCTCCCACTCTATTTTTCTTTCATAAGCCATACAATCCAACACTTTCTTCCATACTATTTACAACTTTGACATTTCAGTCTCCAACCATAAGCAGCACATCTTGCTTGCCTGTTCTGTCAATTTCAGGTTAAATTTGACCATAAAACTAATCAGCCTCCTCTTCTTCTGCTTCATTGATTGGAGCATAAACTTGGATCCCTGTCATATTAAAGGGTTGTCTCTGAAGTCTAATTGGTATTATTCGGTCATTGACTGCATTGTACCCAAGTTCTGTCTTTGCTATATCCTTCTTGACCATAAAAGCAAAGCTGTTCCTTCTTTGTTTTTCATGTTGAGTAGTAAAAGGTATGATCATCTGATTGAAAGGTCCAATTCGAGTCCATTCCAATTTGCTGATGGCAAGGTCTAGACAATTCATTTAATCATTCCCTTTCCCATGATCATGCTTCTTAGTTCCATGTTCCCACTGTAGTTCTGTCTTTGCAGCTTTGGATTTTCTTTTCCTGCATAGCAACTTCAGCAACTAGCCATCCCAAAGGCTTTTATCTAGTCTAGCTAACATGCTGGCTGTGGAATTCTGGGAGCTGAAGTCCACCCATCTTAAAGTTGCCAAGTCTAAGAAACACTGACCTACACTCATTCATCTCTACAGTCTCCTATCTATCTCAGCACCTGGGGGTAAGCCAGCTTTTCACAGCTTTCTGGAGGAGGTTGGGGGCCTGCTGGATCTCAAGGGTGTTCCACAGGGCAGGGGCTGCTACAGGAAGGGCATACTTCCTAGGTGCCACTAGCTGGCAACATTTAAGGAAAGGGACCTGGAGCATGCACACTCTATCTGATCTAGTGGAATGGGCAGACACCCTCAGGGAGAGGTGGTCCAGCAAATAACTTGGCCCTGTGCCATGTAGGGCTTTAAAGGTGATCACCAGCACTTTGAAATGCACCCAGATAGAAAATGGGAGCCAGTGCAGCTTGCGCAGCAATGGTGTAACATGGACAAGCTGAGAGGTGCCAATACTGCATGAGCTGCCATGTGCTAGACCAGCTGTAACTTCTGGGTGGTCTTCACATAGAACACATTGCAATAGTCCAACTGGGAAGTGACCAAGGCTTGAGTGACTGGGAACAAGGCCTCCCAATCTAGGAATGGGTGCAATTGGTGCCCAAGACATAGCTGGGCAAAGGTCTCCCTAGCCATGGCTGCCACCTGCTCCTTGAGCAGGAGCCTCAAGTCCAGAAGGACCCCCAAATTGAACCCCAGGTCTGTCTGGGGAAATGGTACCCCACTGAGAGTCAAAGTTCACTGTTGATCTGCACGTCCCCTATAACAGACCCCTCAAAAATAATTTGGATAGGGTTAGCACTAAGCTATTAGAAATGTTTTCCTAGAAAGGATTCACTCTACTGAATGTTTCAGTTCTGGTTTTTTTAAAAAATCACTGAAGAGTTGGAAATTTTAAAGAAGTGTTCTTGAAATGATTGAAATTGCATACATTTTCATACAAAATATGTTTTCCTTCTTTGAGAGAAGAAAGATTGATTTCTCTAATGTCTGCTTTTTTATTATTTTCTCCTTTTTCAGTGGAGGAAAATTAGAAAAAGAAAACATTTCTTTTATGTTTGTTGTAAACTTGTTTCTCAGTGGCATTCCCCCCCCTCGAGTTTATAAGCAGTATTTTTATTCATCCATTAGAAATTCATCGTGATTTGAACATCCTTGCATTGGGATAAGAATTTTTATATTAGAGGAATTCCATTGCAGATTGCCCCATAAAAAGATACCATCCTAGAACTTGGCCATAAAATGAAGTTTTTAATGGAAGGAAATACTTGATGCCTCCTAAACTTGGATTCTGAAATTCGCTATACTCCATTATACTGCTCACAACTTGGATTTGAGTATTCCATAAGACACCATTGTGAAGAATCATCTCCACCAGCTTCTACCATACTGTGTATGGATAAAACTGGCATAACATGGGGATATTTAACCTTTATGGAGAAAAGAGTCATGTTGCATGCCTGATTTTTACCTTCTATGAGTGAGGAAGCTTCCATTTGCATGACCTGAACCATCACACCCTGGAGTTGGGCAGGTTGGACCCTCATTCTTAAGTGACTTCCATGAAAAGGTTGAGCCATTGAGAGAACCTTCCTTCTGCCTCCGGGCTGCAAGGGGACAACCTGAGGCACTGCGATGGGAGGCATATTTGCCACTGATGTGTCCGAGTCCAACACATCCAGGAACAGGGCACCTAGGGAATTGCAAAGAAGTGTAAGTGTGGAAACTCAGAATAGGAAGACCAGACAGGAGACATGACCAAATAAGCTAATTCTACTTTATTGTAAGGCTACATTAACAGAATCTTGCAAATCCAAAAGTACAGTTCTCCCACCATCTCCTTTACAGCCCGAGAAACTAGGGAGGGTCCCTTCTGAGCCTTTTTCTCCATCCATTATGCAGCTGAGGGCTATGCCCTCTCTTATCTGACCATTCCCTAGGCAGCATCTCTTCACCCTGTCTTTCAAGGTCTTTCTCACATACCATTACACATACACTGTTAAATATTAATATATTTTCAATGACCTACTAAAGGGCTAAAATCTATCCTCCATGCCTCTAGATTGGTATAAAGCACCCTGCACTTCCTAAATTCTGTTCATTGTTACTTCTTGTATCCTTTCAATCACAATCCAACCAGTGGAATTGTCCTAGGCACATTTAACCAACCAATCTTTGTAGTTTTTGTATACATTCTTGCCAACTTTTCCTTTGTATTGGAGAACTATAGTGCCATTCTTCCAATCCTCACAAAGTTCATCATGGTTGTCATCTTTCATCTTTATTTTTTATGTTTTATTGATTTTTTGTAACTTGTTTTGTTTGATCGTTGTGAACTGCCCAGAGGTTTGAGAGTTGGGTGGCATAAAGTTTAATAAAATAATAATAATAATAATAATAATAATAATAATAATTTTAATTATACATATCAATTAAAAGCATACATCAATGTTTGCTACAGGATCGTGTTGTTAAAAAAAAGGAAGCCGATGGGAAAAAACATTGAGCTCCCCCTGTATGCAGAGAAACCATTAGGAATCTCAAAGACAACTGTCAAAACATACTGTGGCTTCATTTGAGTTTCATTATTCTATGTTTCATTGTTATCTTCATCAGCATTTTAATTTTATTCCATTAAAAAAAGAAAGCAGAAGAATTGACAGTTGAGAACCCCATCACGGCTATTTCATCCCCCCTCTGAGATAATTTGGAAACTCTAATCCTGTTTTTAATCATGTGCAAATGTGGCACAATTCACTTATGATATCGCTGCGAGCAGGAGGCTGACTGAATTCATAACTGAGTCGCTGTTTATATGATTGCAAGGAAATGACTGAAACCTCGAGAGAAAGAGGGAAAGAGAGATGGAAAGGCAAAGGCAACAATTAGTATGCAGCGTTTACAGCTCAACCATTATGTATTTTACGTTGCTAATTTAATGTTCATTACATTTTTATTACAAAAAATAAACCAGCACCTTATTGGAGGAAACAGCTGGCTTGAGGTCTATTGAGGGTGTGTGTATGGGTGTGTGAGAGAGAGTTTTAAAATGTTTTATTGCTCTTTAATTGAAAAAGCAAGGGCTGGTCAATTGAGTAGGTTGTCCTCTTGACCTAGCCTTTTTAAGAGGGAAGGCAGAAGGTTGAGATGATACGTGGAAGGTGTTGTGATCTTCTGCCTTTGTGGCACTCTGTGATGGGGGAAGAATGCCTGCCTTCCTGTGGCAAAATGTTATGGTATGTGGGAAAGACCGTGGGAGACTGGGCCAAGAGATGCTGCCAAGGGAATGGCCAGATAAGAGACAGCATAGCCTACAGCTGCATAATGGGTGGAGAAACAGGGTCAGAAGAGACCCTTGCTAGTTTCTCAGGCTGAAAGTGAGAAGGGTGGGGTGGGGGGAGAATTGTACTTTTAGACTTGCAAGATTCTATCAGTATAGCTCTACAATAAAGTAGAATTAGCTGATCTGGTTGTGTTTCTTGTCTGGTTTGCCCTGTGAGGCCGACATCAATCTTGCAAGTCTGCAAACTGTAGGCTATGCTGTGTATTATCTGACCATTCCCTTGGCAGCATCTCTTGGCCCGGTCTTTCCCACATACCATTACACAAGAAGAAAGAACAACAAGACCTCAGGGAGAACATTTATTTTTTTCTCAGTGGCAATACAGGAATCTGGGTCTCTTTAATGCAAGTCTTCAGGGACCGACATGATAGTGTGCCTTGTTTATGAAGACAAAATGCTTGTTTCCCAAGGACTGGAAAAGTTTGGCAATGGAGAGGAAGAATTGCCTTTTTGCAGGTTCTCCATTGGGCAATTCACCAGCTTCTTCTGCTGCTTTTCAAGGTTGAAGCCTCCATGGAATAGACTGGGGAGTGGAAAATTGCAGGGCATATTTTCGGCTTTAATTGTGTAATACACATAGTCCTCGCTTACCGACCATTCGTTCAGTGACTATTTGAGGTTACGGCAGTGCTGAAAAATGACTTACGACTGGTTCTCAAAGTTGTGGTTGTTGCAGTGTCCCCACAGGCACATGATTGGCATTTGCAACCTTCACAGCCAGCTTCCGACAAGCAAAGTCAGTGGGGAAGCTGGCAGGAAATCACAAGTCATGGTTATGTGACATCACACTTAACTGCCCGTGATGCTTCGCTTAACAACCTCAGTCAGAACTGACAGAACTGGCATTGTAAGTCAGCATGGTCATGTGTCGTCATGCTTAATGAACGTGCCACTTAGTGACAGATTTGCTGCTCCCTATTGTGGTCGGTAAGTGAGGATTACCTGTATAATAAGTATGAAAAGGTAAGAACCAACCCCTTCTGTATTGTCGCCCCCAAAAACTGAATGGCTATGTTTACGGAGTCACCAACATTCAAGCTGATCTTGAGGAAGAGTTGAGTTTGCCTACCACAGGTAGCAACACCTGGAACACCTTAGATCTTAGAAAAGCTAAGTATGGTCAGGCCTAGGTAGTACTTACATGTGAGATCACTAGGAAATCCCAGGGTTATGAGATAGATCAGAAAGTCTATTTTTCTATTGTATTTTAATTAATTTCATCTCCTCCGTAAACTGTCCAGAGTTGCTTTTTAA